AATTATGAATTACCCGACTTTGATTCTAGATATTTGATTTTTTTATATTTAATGTACCTTTGGAGATATCATCTAGAGGTATCTTTTGAAAATCGCACCATTACATACCATTAAATATTTAATGGTACTCCCTAAATGACGGTAGTCCCATGATTGGACATGTGACAACTCTACATAATTTGTTAGAGACAAACAGAACAATTATTATCACTATCGGTCTGACACTAGTCATCCTAAAGCTGGGATATTTATATCTTGAGAAAAGATTGAAGAATAAATCTCTCCCCTTTGGACAACCTTGTAGATGAAGCCATTCATGTCTCTCACACATGAGAATAGGAAGCCGTCGGCTACCAGACGATTCTCTATAACTGTGATTCTTTATTTAGATCAAAAGAAGTCAACAGTTAACAACTGACAAAACCAATTCGGTCATATCCACAATATTCATTCACATTAGTGTTTAATTTTATTGTATGAACTTGTAATCTTCTTGGTTATGGGTTGGGTAGGAAAAGCTTGAAGGCTATACTGCTTACTAAACCAAAAGCAGTTTCTGTAAATCTCCTTTCTCAAGTTAGACCAAAACATGCCAACATTGATATTTGATAAACTAGTTTAATTAAATTTATAATTGCATTCTGTTTTTAGAATATATATATATACAAAATGTGGAAAAAAATTGAAAAGTAATATAATTGAGGACATTATCATAATAATGCAATTAAGCATCACAAAATATTGAATTAAGAGACAGAGCCAGCATTAGTAGTTGTACCAATCCCAACTTTTTATTTTTGTTCAAATGCCAATCCCAACTTGCAGCCATGGAGATGAACCTCCACTCATGTTGATGTCCTTTAGTTTTGTTAGCTTCAACTTTCTGTCAGTTTCGTCTTCTGCATTTCGCATAAAACTATTACAATGATCATTGTTGTTTTGATTGTCAACCTGTTGCAGTTGGTGTTGATTATCTTCTTTATCTTTGGCATCACCGCCTCCTAACCATAGCTGTAATATTCCGGTCGAAACGTCAAAACCTGAATGATTATCGTGCTTCCGTCGTATAATATCGTGATGATCAGTTGCTGCAGGAAGATTGAGATCAAACTTAAGATTGAGTGGCTCGGAATTGTCGATGAAATTCGGCTCCATTCGATCTTGGAACCGATGGAACTTAGCCAAAGAGGAGGTGTCGGGCAATTTCGAAGTGATCCAATGGCATCTTTTGTGTCCTCCCAATGCTTGTCCTGATGAAAAAACCCGGTGACAGATTGAACATTCGTGTACTTTGATTTCTTTTTGGGTGCAGAAGCCAAAGGAGTGCTCGTTCCTTGATCAAATTGCAAAGATGACAGTGGTTTCCTAGGGAAAAACTCTTCGTGTGTGGGAACATCATATGCTGACTATCGTCCATACGATCCAGCCGGGCTGCGAAACATCCCTTAACCTTCTGTGACTAGCTCTATGACCGCCCAGTGCCTGATGAGAATTGAACACTTTCCTGCATGCTTTGCACTCAAACAGCCCTTTGGCTACGCCTCTTGCCTTGTCCATTCCTACCCTACATGCAATAGGAGCAATGAAATTCATTGTGTTTCTTCTTTCCTCTTCTTTGCTGGCCGAGGCACAAGATTCATCCGGCTCGGTTACGAAAGGATGAACCGTTGCATTCGATAACAGCATTAGGCAATTCGCGAGATCTTCCTCTTCGCTCGACGGAAAAAAGAAGTTGAAATCATCCACGTTAGCTCTAAACGATCTTTTCCTTTTAGACCACCCGCAACCTCGCCTCATTGTGTCATTGTCGCCATCCGAGCCGGGTGAGGACACAAGCGATTCAGCATCGTCGGAGCTACATTTACCGTGCTCGAGAAACGATTTCCAAGACAGAAACTCCTTCCCACAATTCTCACAAACCCTACAGGTCTTTAATCGATTAGGGTTGGTTCGCAACTCGTACATGCGCTTGTTGCTAGGTGGAACATTCCTTCCTAATTTATCTTCCCAATCACTTGCATGATCGTCGTCGTCAATGTGGCCACTCTCGTCACCTATTCCATGCGCCCTCATATGCCCACCAAGTGCTCGCCCGGACCCAAATCCCTTCTTGCAAATTCTACAAAAGTGCTTAAAGTCCGATTGTTGTTGATCCACAATAAAAGCCATACGAAAGGGAAATAAAAAGAAGTAAAAGGCTGAACGATGGAGGAAGAAGGGTGAGTCGATTGTTCTCGTATAATGAAAGATTGTAGAAAAGTTTGTATGGTGACTTTTCTTCGGCTTTGTGGTTGTGCTGGTGGCGTCGCCGCCAGTCAATTCAAACGATTACTGTTAACTATTAAAAAAAACACGGAATTCCGTACAACCAGTGACTGTATGTTGTGTTTTTGGTCCATTGGAGTGTGAGAACGAAATATATATATAAAGAGGGAAGAGAATGTGCTTTGAGAGGTTAAGAGAGAAAGTGGTTTTAACTGTCGTACCTGTTCAATTCCAAGCCAAGAAAAACTATGTCATGCTTCCCCTTGTCTCTCGGTTTCCTCTTCCTGCCTTTTCCACATTTTTGTCTACTCTGTCCCGTTTTTATTATTGTTTTTTTACTACGTGCGACACGGCTTGCCTATAGGAAAATGAGCAGCACATGTTAAACTTGAAAACAATTAATTAAAATAAATTATTATGCTCTTAAAAATATGTAGATATGCATAGCATATTTTATTGTTGTTGCATGCTTACGTTAGGATATAATTGCTTTGGATCGACAAGCCGACTAATGACAAGAGGAATAGGGATGGAGTCGGGATTTCAACTTGAGGATGATAAAATATAATTAATCGTAAAAAATGAGGGGACAGAGTATAACTAACCATAGAAAATGAGAGAGAAAATATTAATATAAACTAAAATTTAGAGTCCTATTTAATATTTTACCATATAATTTTTTAATAATAGAAAAATTGGTGGAAGGGCAGTGGCCTGAGACATAGGATGGTTCCGTCCCTAGACAGGAGTGATCTTAGCTAAGTAATACTTTTGTGTTAGTTTATCGATCAATTAAAATGTCAATAGGGTAGAATAAAAAAACACGATAATTTATAGTAATTTAATTTTTTTCAATAAAATTTATATCTCATATCTTATCGTTGATCGTTTAAATTAACATAAAATTTAAATCTTTTGAGAACTAAGCAAAAGTGTCTCAATAGTCCATTCGATTAACAAATTGTTGAATAAGATATATAGTGATTTAATCTTGTCATCAAGTATAGTCAATTGTTACTCCAAAGCTTGAAATCAAGCATTGTTGGCATTTAAGAAGTAAGCAAAAGAGCCTCAATCTAATCCATTTGAGCGTACATGTCTTCATAATTTTAAAGCTTGAAGTCGTACATAGAATTCATTGAGATATCCGTGTGAGGTGGCTCAATCGAGTATGATCTCCATCTATTATAGCTAGAGGAACATTACCCTGTTCCTCAGCTTGATCTTCATGTTCCTCGTCATTGTCCATGTGATGTCACCATTGGAAAGGATCTTGCTCACCGATCTCAACACTAAAATCTCGATTAGTCTTGTGGGTCAACTTGAAATCAATGATATTAGATAATTCGAGAGATGGGTCTAAAGCGGTTGACACATGTAGTTGATCTAAGACACTAATACCCCTGTCGACTTGCATCAACTTAGGAGTTTGGGCCAGCGATTCAATGGGGTATGTAAGGAGATTTGCATGGATCGCAAATGACACTCTCTTGTTGTCTATTCGTCTATTCTCATATGTATCCTTCACCAACATGGGTAGGAAACTTTACCATTAAACTGAATGCAGTTAATATTAATTTGGCATTCTTCATCAGAGGTCTTCTAAAGTTAGCATTATACGCATAGGGTTAGTTGACTACAAGGAACTTTGTGTCGACTGTGACAATGTTTTTGTCATCTCCCAAGGTAATAAGTAACACGATAGATCTACTTACATCCATCGAGCGGTTGGAGAAAGTCTACAAGGCTTTAGTCCTTGTAACCCTTCCGTTTTTTGGAAAGCTTCTCATTGTAAGACCTCCACCGCACTTACATTATTCGTTAAGACTCTTTTAACAAAGAAGTTATTAATGCGAGCTAAAATGACTAGTGGCTCATCAATGGTTTCGTCGAAGACTTAGGAAGAGTCCATATCCCTAAAACTGACTTTTTAGTCTTCTATGCCTTTTTGTAACAGTTTTCATGGGGTGTGGCCTTTTGTAAGAGGATGTCCAAGGTTGAGATCCTCCTAAGATTACATTAATTATTCTTCTTAGTGGCCTAGGGACGCGCTCGGGTTGGTTTCAAGGCAAGGATGACAAGTTGAATTGATTGTTTTTGTTCTATAAAGTTCATCTTGATGGATTTTTCTTGATCATGATGTGATTTTATGCTCACCGTACTAAATTGTTGATGATTATGTCGGTTATAAGTGATTCACCCCTTTTAATTTGAACAAAGAATCATAGTCGATTGTTACGAGAAGTACTTAATACAATAAACAATATTCTTGAGACTTGAGAGGATGAAAAAAAGAAAAATATGAAGGAAAGAAGAGATCCCCTTCTAGTTATGTCGTAAGGCTTATATATTGACTTATAAATACGTTCAGTATAAGTATCGATCCTAGAATAATAATTGTCATTTATAAGTCAATAAAGTGAATTATTCATACTATTATGGGATAGAGTTCATCGATAATAATTCTATTAATAATAAAATCAAGAATTAAATGAATATAATTGTTAATCATATCAAAAGGCTGCAATTGTCTTCTCTAATATATTCCTAAAATTTCAGAGGTTTTGACCTGACTTTGAAGAAGGTACAACAACTATAAATCTCATTTTTAGCATCCATTTAACCACCAATAAACGAGAGGCATTGTGTAAAACTGGACCGACAAATCGGGTTGAAGACCCGAATTTATAGCGGGCCCTTTCAAGTCCAAAATGGAGCACTCCGGGACTGGTAAGACCCTCGATTCTAAAACCAATTTGGGCAGGAGATGCAGCAAAACAATATTATCTCCTCCATGGCAACGGTATCTGAATCACCCGAAGATAGCCCAAACCCTAATCCACCACCATCGCCGCCTCAGCCTCCGCCCCGCGACCCCCTTTCTAAAACCTTATCGCATTTTCCTGACCAAGTCACTCCGTGGATCGATTACGCTGTGGAGCAATCTGTTCTCTACCAGAAAATTATCGATGGGAACGTTAACGCCACAATCGAAGCTTCTAGATCTCGACTTTCAGAAATTCGCTCCACTTCCTCTGCTCATTTTAATCAAACCATCGTACGCTTCTCTTTTCTTTTTTGAGCCTTGAATTAGAACGGATAATTTATATCTCTTTTTTAATTGCTAGGATTCACTTAAAGATGTAAAATCGCTACTTGGTGTTTACGAGAACTTGGCATTTAACAAAGTTAAAGGTCTGCTCCATCAACGGATTCAGTACATGCACATTCTGTTCGTATATGGGAGAATCAATTTTTAGTTTCGATGTTTCGCATTTTGTTGCAGAGGGAATTATCAGTGTAGTTGCAAATCCATTGATCACGGGCGGTGCTGCTGTTGGCTTGGGATTTCTGGTACTTAAAAGTATGGTTCTATAATATTTTTAGCCAGTTTCTGCATTCATAGATTGTATATACAACACTTGAATCAATTAAATTCATCTCTACCATGTAATTTTACGCTCGAATGAATATGCATAACGTGTTATTCATAGAAACTTGCTCTTTCTATGTTGTAGTGCTGTTCTTTCATGACCAATTTTAATGTTTAGTTCAAGTTTTTTGTAATAGTGAAGAGGTCTTGATTAAGTTGCTGCTTAGCTTACTTTCAGGTTTATGATTCCTAGGCTTGCATATCTATAATTCCTTAATGGACACTTTAAGCAATTCTCTTCAACTTCTTACTTACGTTGTTTTATCCTGGATCTACAACTTGAACCTAATTGATATTGTTTTGTAATTTTCAATGCGCAGGGCCAAGGCGTTTGCTATATTACAAGGCTTTGCGTCTTTTTCAGTGTGAAGAGGTAACATAAATATTGTTCTCTTTATAAGTTATGATTTATGGAAATCCCCTGTCTGTCCTCGCTACCTGATTTTTGTTGGTGGATTTATTTTGATTATAAATACATATACACAATTTGGATTTTAGAAGACCCACTACTTATTTTCAATTTGTAATTTAGAAGAGGACAGGAATGAGATTTCAAGGTGCATGCAAAGATTTTTAAGTTTGCAACAGTTGAAGGTAGTAGAATTGTGAAATGTCAAGGGAAAGTTGGAATAGCCTGTTGTCGTAATGTTGGAGAAGCTTTAATAGCTTCTTATGTTCCCGTTTCATATAGCTTGAATGTCTCCCAAAGAATGGAACTATTGTTCTGCTTTTCGAAACTTCTGTTTCTTTTTGCACATCATGGTCCATGCAGCGATATTTTTATCAGTTTTTAATGTTTATAACACGATCACTCAGGTCAGAAGTATTTTTCTTAATTTTATTAGACTTTCGAGAGGGAAAAAAACCCAGAATAGGCTGTGCTCATTAAAATTCAGTTTAAAACGCTATTATAATCCTACTATTTGTTCTTGCAGTCCATGATTTCCAAAGCTGATACTAGAGTGAAGGAGCTGAGACAGTCAATTGATCGCCTTAAGGCTGAAAGTAAGAAGTTGGAGGTAACATTTTCCCCATTTGATCATACAACTATTGACAAGTATTCTTTTATCTCGTGATAGTTGCTTTCACGCTTTAATAATATTAGACATTTGTACATGTACATTGTCTAGCTACTCGTGCATTGTTTAGTATACCTACTTCAACTTTTAGTTTTGTTTTATAGGCTATTCTCGGTGATGTAAAATTTAGGTTTTCTATTTTTATTTTTCCTGATATCCCCACAAACAGGTTGTTTCCAAAAATTAGGATTTTGATCTTCGAAGCAAACTTGACTTCCTCTGGTTTGTGTTGGTTTTTTAAATAGCATGATTTTCTCTGCTTATTGGATAATGAAATGGACTTATCCAGAAACTACATGGTTTATGCATGTGTGATTGTCAATGGAAGACAACTTTTATGCTTCGATTTAGCTTATTTTAGAATTCTTCTGTGTTAAACACATAAGTAATAATTTTTTTCTTTATTTAATAATAATCGGAAGGTAAGAATGAAATGTTGATGAAAACAGAGAATTCACTGTCTCAAAAGGTATACTTAAGCTGTTTTAGCTAGTGCTTTGGGTTGTGTGTTCAATGGAATTTTGTAATCCCCGGGACTGTAAAAATATTTAAATTGCCGAACTGACTTTTTGAACAGTGTTTTAGCTGTTTTGATCTGGTGATGTCTATAGCTACTTGTTCTTAATAGACAACCTGGAAATACATTGTCATGTAGTTCCTAGACGATAAAATTTTAACGTTATATTAGAATATCACTAGAAACTGTGTACTACTTGGAAACTATAGTTCCTTTAATCAAACATTTGTGAAATATGTTTCATAATTGCTGTTTCCAGCGGAGTGCATCGGTAGCTGAAGAAGAGCTGATCCGTGGCAGGACAAAACTCAGGTTTGTAATTTCAAAGGAAGTGCAGTGAAATGTTAACTTAAGGACAAAACATTTGTGAAATATGTTTCAATTTTGTTTCAGGCAAGCAGGCAAGCAGATCCGAAGTGTAATTCAGTCAGCTTATAAGATTGAAAGACAAGCAGCAGGTATTCAAGCACTTTCTCTCAATTAGGTTCATTGAATTGTTTTACAGCATTAATGTGGCTGAGAAAAATCCCTTTATGTATTGCATCAGGATTAAAAGATACCCTTGGAGAACTTCCAAGCAGAGAAGCATCTCAATTTAGATCGCATGTAATCTTTCTGGATATGAATAACAAAAGATACCTGTTTTTTTTAATGTATTTATTGATTGTGATATAATGAATGTGCAGGTTTCCAAGCTTGCTTCTGAGGCGATGCGAGAACGGAATACGTTGGCAAAGGAGGTTTCAAAAATTAGTAATCATGGAATTGCAGTCTGAGGAATCCTTTGCCCCTGTTGTTTTCTTAAGTTCACATAACAGATAAGATGTTTTGAGTGAATACATTTTGTTATTATAATTTTAATTGGAGCCTGGTGATTGCACATCAGGGAACCTGTATAAAATAAACAAACTCCCATTCTCAAGGTTTGGTTTCTTAACTTTCTGGTCTTGAAGTTTTGGTCCAATATATGAAAAATTAAATTCACTGTTACCATTACAGTACCTGCGGATGTATGGTTTTTGTTCTAATATTGTTATGTTTTGGTTGATCATTTCTAGTTTGTCCGTATTGTTTATTATCTTTTTCAAATATGTACATTTTTATACTTTAATTTCTAGTTTCTCAAAATTATATTAGATATTTTAAAGACTCACTTGTTTAGTTTATCTCCCAAAGTCCGACTTGAACCAATTCCATTTGGTTTTTCAACTGTTTTTTTTTAAATAAGCCAAGAAATAATAAAAATATATATCCGGCCACGCCATGACCGTGACAGTCGCAGCTCTCACCGTATCATCACCTCCGACTCCGAGTGTCTCGACCAAACTAAAACGACGACCCCGTTATGATCCAAACTCCATTTATGCCAAACCACGCCATTTTCGCCTTCCTATAATCACATGCTCCTCCCTCACCGCCCAATCGCAATCCGCCAAACGTCACCTTCTCAATCTCATATCCGACCAAGACCGGGGCCTCAAAACCCAAAACGACACAACAAAAAGAGATTCAATCATCAAAGCCATCGATGACATGGCTGTCCGGGCCGCGACACAGTCACCACTGGCGCCTCCCTATCCGCAACATGGCGGCTCCTATGGACCACCGAGAAAGAGCAGCTCTTCATAATAGAGAAGGCTTACCTGTTCGGTACTCAAGCCGGCGACGTTTTGCAGGTCATCGACGTCCAGAGCAAGACTCTCAACAACGTGATTACCTTCCCACCTGACGGAGTTTTCTTTGTTCGCTCTAACTATTTCAAGTGATTTCTTCTTTGGCTCAAACTATTTTTCAGTTATTGCTCTATTCATCTCGCTTAAATACTTGCTCAAATTTGATTGGACCTTTTAGGTTTACGAGCGCGGTTCTCAGTGGAAAAACTGGGAGATCCCATTGCCTCCATTTGGACAGGGTTGGTGAGTACTTGTATCTTCGTTTTTATTATTATTATTGATAAATTTATTATGCGAGATTCAAACTTTTGGCTTTTAATTTTTTGTTCGTTTTACAGCCACAAATAGTTTTAGGTCTTGATTTACATTTGGAAATCTGGGTACCAAGTTCAGCATTAGCTAATTATGTCCAGTCCTCCTTGGTGCTTTTTCTTGAACTGCAATTCCATAGAATCATGTTTACCACTGATATTTTTAAGGTTCATTGTTTCATCCAACGGGAAAATATTATTGTACTTTATGAAAAAAATTTATGGGCTTCTCTTTGTCATATAGTTTACCTGTTCTTTTCGAAGCAGGCAAATGTTTTTACTGATCTTAAAATTCTGTATAGGTTTGAGCCCGTCTACCTTGATGACGAGATTCGAGTTGTGAAGGATATTAGGGACGATTATTTAATTGTAGAGCGTGGTCCATATAACTGGAAAGAATAACGTTGAAGGACCTTGTCTCTCATGATAATCAAATGTGAGCTTCCTAAGGTATTGAAAATTAGTTATTTCTTCCTTTTTGTCTGACTTTTTTTTTTGAATTTTTCTTGTATGGCTTGATTTGAGTGTTTGAGGGCAGTAAGGGCTAAAAGTGAGTAAGAAATTGTAGCCATAAGGAGCAAAAACAGAAATAAAGCTATGCTTATTTCATTTCTTTTCTTGCTGTGTTACATCAGTATGCACATATAAATACTTGAGGAAATTGCATAGAAAGTTACCGGTAAAGGATTTTCCATTTATTTTTCATCAGGTGAATGTTGCATGGATTGGCTTCTGCTTCCGAATATTATCTGCAGAATTCATTTCCCCTTCACTGTTCTGCTGGTGACAAACAATGACACGCAATGTAAATTTAACAAACATATACGGTTATGTGAATATTTTCCGGAGTTGAAGCACAAAATCGCAGCACAGCCTTATATGAGCTGATTACTACATGCTTCCATGTTAATGCTTGAGAGTCCATTTTGTATTATTTTTGCCTCATGCACATAGGATTAAATTGAATTGATTGACTAGGTTCAAGAATTTTCATTTCCATTCATCTATCCACTCATATTTCTTTCCTTTATTTAGACATCATGGTTTCACACTTGCTTTACACGCTATTCTACTTGTTGAGCTCTCAAATGTTTGAAGCCTATACTCTGCTTGCTTATTTACTTAGAGCTCCCTTGTGAAACATATTTTGCTCATTGTTCAAAGTCTGGGAATGTATTATTAATTGAATAGAGAATTATCTGAGATTGCTTATTTACTTCGATTTCATGGGCCTTCTCTCCTTCCCATCATTTAGGTTTTATGGGTTTATACTGCTAAAACATAAAAAGTGCACGTGTAGATGTTGGTCATTGTCGATGAGTCGGATGGAAAATGTTTTCTCGAGTATTTTCTTGTCGTTGATGATTCGTGGAGTGATGAAAGGGAAGATGTTATAGAACAGTGATTGGCTCAACCATGGTTTGGCCCAGATTGAGATTGAGGAATCTAGAAACATGTCAAACCGGTGCTCATGCATTTGATGAAGATCCCATAAACTGTTGGCAATTTCTGATTTTGCTGAATCTTGTTTCAATTAGAACAAAGGTAAAATGTTTTATGGCTAGTCCAAGTTGGATAGATGATTATCTGTTATTACCTAATTTCTTTTATGGGAAGTAAATAATTATCTGTTATTACCTAATTTCTTTAATGGGAAGTAAATATTTGCATTGATTGTGCCCAGCGCATTCGATGCTGGCAAAGATTCAAAATGCTTTTCGGATGGATTTTTTGACCCAACTGTATTGTTTTTTCAGTTTTTGGTTTGGGTCAATACTCAAGTTTACAGTGGGATTGTTTTTGCCATTAAAACGAAATTTTAAGTCAACAACACTTCCATAAATATTCTCAAAAACACAAACAAAAAATTCTCTGACCCAATTAGACACAGCCAAAATCCCCAAACGTGGGCTTAAATGCAGTTAGAGCCCATTTCTATACCAAACCCATTTTGCCCAAACATTCAGAACCTTGGCCCAAACGTAGACTTGTTTCTCAACCCCCAACTCACCCAGTCAAACCTTCTAACGAGCTTGCTCACGGCATCTCGTTTCCCTCGACAAATCCTACTCCCACAAATTTCTGAAACCTCCCTCATAACCCGTAAAATGTCGATCACCTTTATACTCTAATTAGTTTCCAAATTCTGTCAGAGAGGGGTTAGCCATTATATGAACTCACAAATCCTTCACTCGGACTCATTTGTTCCAACATCAACCGAACCCAATGTGTCAACCATCGCCTATACCATCATCCGAACCCACTGACACGCCAGCACCCGCCACATTATCATTTAAAGCCACCTACACCATCCTCTGAACCCACGTACTACCCCTAAACACCTAGCCACTGCATTGACCCCACAATCCCACAACCATTCTCATCTTTTTCTTACCTGACATCATCCACGACCCATTATCTCCAAATAAAAAAGAGAGAAAAATAAAATCAAATAGGAGAAGTCGAATACGAAGGAGAAACGTAAAGAAAAAAAGTGGACCATAGGCATTGGCAGACTTTCGGTGACGCAAGTTTTATTTCGCAGGTCGTGTAAAAAAGAGTTTTTAATTCACATTTTCCTTACAATTACATAGATCGTCTAACATTTTCCTTAGTTAACAGCTACCACTTGAGAAGACGACCTTCCGGGAGCATGAAGCACATTGACCAAGAGTTTTTAATTCACATGGCCTTACTCTCATTGTATGTTTGAATATTTGTCGCTTCTTGGACATGGTTTACTGACTACGATCCAAATAGTATCCCAACACCTAACTTTAAATCACTTATCTTAAAGAAGAAAAGACAGTAAAAACATGAAGTAGGTGGGTGGAGTAGTAGATTTCACCTATTTTTGAAACATCTCTTCTTTCTACACTTTAAGCACGTACCTAATGACTAGTCCCCAGCTTTTTCAATGAACTAGTTGTCAGAGATGGCCCAATGTCCACTCAGACCTCTATTTGGCATTCGTGGGATTGCTGTTTAAACGCATTATGGCACGTGTATGCAAAGATTATTTAACGCAGTCTTTGGGTGTGGTTCTATGCGAGGATAAAATTTTATATTTTATATTCTTTATTCATAATTTAATTTCACAACCGTATAATTTTGTAATTATATACATAGACGAGCATAAACTTAATCCGACCTCGTTTCATAATAGTACATCATCCAAAATCTGGCTTGATGTAGAGTTACGATGGTTTCATCGGATTTAAAATTATATTCGTTTTTTCAAATAAAACTCACATTTCATTCAACTTGACACAAATATATATAAATTTTTAATTTGATTTATAAAATAAAAAAATTAATATAGAGTGTTATTATTATAATTATTTTTAAATTTATAAAGTATAATATTTTTATTTTTTCTAGATTAAATATTTTTCGTAAAAAACTCAAATCCAATTCAATCTAAACTTATATTTTGAAAATATCACTCGAACATGATTTTTTTAAGGAAAAAAAACCAACTCAATAGGTTCGAGTCAGATTGTAACTTGTTATGTTTGGATCTTGTGACTATTCCTACTTACAAACTTTCTAAATTTTGTATATAATTTTTTAAGTTAGTATTCCGATATGCAATTTTGTATCAATCCATGCGTGTATGAAGAACAGAATCTTCATGAACTCAACATGCATCCATCAACCTGCACTCAAATATGTTGAGTTAGATATCTGCAAATTTATTTATCTCTTTATGTTCTGTAAATACCGCAAATGAACCGGCAAGAAGAGCGGCCGTTGCCTGTTGGGCTTGAGGGCACAACCATGATATGCCGAAAACAAAGAGATGTACTGCCAAATTAGAGTTGGGATTTTGTATGGTTACCTTTGCTTATTAGCCTTACGATATTGGAATTTTGATCTATCCTACAATTGCATATAAACGAGATAAGAGATAACAGTAAAGATCTTTTATAGCGACAGTGTTTTGTTTCTTCTGTACCGACACTGATATTTTATACGAGAAAAAAATGCTAGTGAGAAAGATACGAGAAGTGGAAG